CAATTTGAATTATTGAAGAATTTCAATTAAAATCTGTGAAGAGAATTGTGTGTGTGTGCATGAATAAAAAGCATGTCATTTTAAAGCACATCAATTTGCTCAGGCTGAACGAAAATGAAAAGAGGCATATTTGTAATGGGTGACTGTTGACCATGTTTTTCTACATACAGTACTTTGTCTGTCACCGTGTGTTAAAGCATCCACCCACCTTGTCGTCCTGGGAGTCGGGCTGCAGCAGGCTGTGTTGCTGGATGGCCATAGGGGGAGGTAGAGGGACGGTGTCGGCACCCTCTTCTCCTTCTTCCTCGCCACAGCTCTGCATGCCTGATGAAGAAGACTTGGACAGGGTGCCACTGCTCAGCCCCTCGTTTCTCATACGCTGCAGAGGGAAAAAGACAGTGATTATTGGGGTTAGTGAAGAGCAGAACTGGATGTTTAAAGGTTCTCTATCTGTTCTTACGTCCTCCAGTGTCTCGTCCTGTGGCGTGGCTGCGCTGTCGTCAGAGTCCTTCTGCGAGCCGGGAATCGTGTCCATGTTCTTCCGGGTCCCATCGCGGTTCTTCTTGTGCTTGTGGGCGAGCTTCTTGACGTGGCCATCGGCCTTGCCGGAGCTGAGCCGCCGCACGGGGCTCGTCAGCCACTTCCTCAGAGTGTTCCCTGGACGCTTGGGCCCTGGCGAGCTGTGGGGGCCCAGGGTTTGGCTGGAGCCCGGCTGCAGGGCGTCGTTACTGGATACGGACAAGGTGTCTAAGGGTGAAGAGAGGAGATTGGCGATTGACTGTTAAATGTCAAGTATAAGTGATCCAACCGAAGACAAAATGGTTGTCTCTCTGTATTGGTCTTCGATTGATTGACAGTTCTCAGGGGCTATCTCTAAGTAACAGCTAATCCATGTGATTAATGTTGTCTGGTCAAATGAAACATCACAAATGCTGCAAACCAAACAGCAAACAGTCCGGCAATATAAACTTATGAAATATGAAGGGAAGCAGTTATTCATGTCAGTTCACTTCAATGCAGGTGGTTGTATTTTTTACTGCTGTTTTTTCAGAATATTCCAAAGTACGACCAAACAGTAACAATACTCTGTGCCCCTTTGGGAGTTTCACTATGAGAGCCTTGAGGAAAGAGACAGTATGTGATAAAGTTTTGTGTGCGTTTGTTTGTTCCCTGTGCATGTTTGTGTTGTGTGCAGTAGGCAGGCTGGCCCTCACAGCGATGGCAGCTCCTTGGGGGATAATCTGTGGGAGGAAAGCTGTTGAATTCGAGCAGAAACGGAGCGATATATTAATAGAGAATAAAGGGATGCTTGAGGCTTTGTCTGAATTCTTCACATATGCACGTATCCGTCTCAGCTCTCTGCTGATTCACTCCTGTTTTAACTTCCTGCCTGATCAACCACTGCCCTGTTGTTCCCTTGTTACCACCAACATGGAAGTTATGCTTTCACCCCTGTTTGTCTGCTGGTTTGTTAGTATGTTTACTACAACTACTACTACTATTACTATTTTTAAACAGGATTATGCGAAAACTGATGGATTATGGTATGGACGGTATGGAAAAGGGAAGAACGCATTCCATTTTATCGCGGCTCCTGATCACGAGATGGATCCAGGAATTTATTTTAACATTGAAAAGGCTCAGAGAATAATTAATGGATCTTGATTAAAAAACAGACATGTTTAGGGGACTGTCATTTGTGTGTGTGCAATTTGTTGCAGATCCAAATAAAAATGCAGATCTAGTGAATTAAAATGTGGTTTCATAAGGGGACTGTTGGGCCTTGGCTGGGGTATACACTCCACAGGCATTCTAGATGCCATTGGAGGAAGGGATACAACGTCCCGCCTGGATCAACAAGTTAACTCACCAAGGAGACTTTGGATTATAACGTTGAGGCTGAATTTCTTAGTGTGTTCTCACTCTGTGCAACGTGATCCCAGGTTTGATTCCACATGCCATTCTCCAGACAAGACCTTTCACCTCCAAGTGTTGAGCAAGATTTAAGAGTTTTCCTCTCTCTGCCGCCAAGGCAAAAGAGCGAGATAAAAAACAAGCTTGCTACATGTGATGGGTCTCTTTAAAAAATCCTAATGGGACATTAAGTGTTCCAGGGATACAGTGTTCTCAGCGACACAGTCCTAAACTGTTAAAAAAAAAAAACCTCAGTAGATGATGCTTTTATTGTGCAGAGCAGCAAATGACTTCCAGTGACCGCCTGACTGCAAGAACGAATCTTTACCTCTTTTATCTCTAAAGTTGACTGGAGTATGACACTCTCCTCCTACACCACTCTGTATTGAATTGTCAGCATCACATCACATTGTGAGTTGCTGAGCTTTAAAATAAATACATTTGTGTGTTTCTTTATTTGATATTTGACACGAGCCATATTCTCGGAAACTGTGCATGAGCTCGACTCAACAGTAAAAATGTTGGAGAGGTTCAGACTTCAGCCTCTCGATCATTTACCTAATAAAGTGCTTTAAAACATGCAGCTGCTACACATTAAACCACGTGACCGGGCTGAATGGCCCTGTGAATGAATGGCAGGTGTGGAAATGTTGCCTCCTTTCATTGGTCACTCAGCACAGCCCCGCATTGTCGAGCGAATGAACGCATCTGCATGTGAACGTGCGTGTCAGCCACCGGGGAGCCTCTTGGAGACTTGTTTTTACGGCGCTCCGCTGATATGAAGCATGTGTTTTCACATCGCACGCAAAAGGCAGAAGGAAGCAGAGTTCCCAGAATAACAAGTATCTCCCACATCAGGCCCTGTTAAGACTCTAAAAGCTGTCAGACTCCTATAGGCATTTTATTCTGCGAGGCCCAGACCATTGGAAATACTCTCCAGCATAACCTGCGATCTCTCTGTCATTCTGCAATATTCACCTGTGTGTCATGCAGCCATCAGGTGAGGAGGCGAGAACCCTTCTTGTTCTCATCTTTTTATCCCACAATTTATTTTTCACCGAGGCACATACTGCTGCATTTCCCAGGGAAAGGTAGGGGGGCTTGCACTGCTCAGGGGATCTATAAATTCCACCTAAAGGGCCTATTTAAAGACGACAGCAGGCGTGAAGGGTTGTCCAGGTTCACTGAGGGAAATTTGATGGAAAATAACCTCTTTCATTGGAGGCAATCTCAATGCTTGGTGTAGGTTTTAGGGTAAAGCTGCGTGATTTACCTGCCTCAACTTTCCTCCTGCAGAAGTAAATGAAAACCAGAGTTGCAGCGGTTCGTTACGACGCTGCCCTGGAATGTTTTAGTCATGGGTGCAAATCATGGAGCCTATTTAAGGCTGTAATTCTGATGATTCAGAGTTCCTTTTCATTTACCACCATGGGTCTCCAAGGACTATCAAAACTTAATGAGCTCTGTATAGAGTTGCTGCAGCATAGATAACACCAGTAAAGTTTTATCCACTTTTCGTACTTAAACGTGAATATTTAAACCCAGCCTCTAGGGGTCGCTCAGTTCAAAACAATAACATAAGACCTAGTTTGATGATGTCACAAAGCAGCAAGGGATCATGGGAGTTTTCACTGATAAAAATCATATTCACGGATGATGTGGTGTTTTTAAGTTTTACACACGTTATGTGTATTCGAAAATGACATAATAATCTTGATGCATTATGTTACATGTTGTTTGCCTCTGAAGTTATAGCAGAAGCAGACAGGTATTAGCAGACATATTTGCTTTACCTGTTATAGCCACAGGTAAAGCAAATATGATGCTAGTCAATGCGACCAAAGTTAAATGTCCCGTTGCACAAAATAAAATGTCTCTAGGTTTGAATATTGTTGGAAACATTTTGGATAATGCAAGAACACAAGTCAACAAAATGTATAAGATAGGTGCAGTACTTTTTAAACATTTTAATAAAGAATTGTTTCATATTATATCCTATAAAGCAAAAAGTACATGTGCTGTACACAGTTAACTGACACTACTGCACAAACCAGACTCTTCTCTGCTATTTCTGTTGATACATGACACTGACCTACAAGAAACACCTTCACGCCAACATAATTTAACTTTCAGGTGGAAACTTGTAAGAAGCAAGGAGCCGAACACAGGAGTCAGGACTTCTCATGTAGAGCAAACTGACCGTGCTTCCTGCAGACATGGGGTCACAACCCTGGAGTGTTCACGTGCTGTTAGCAGGTACATCTCAGCGGCTGCATCATACGCTGCTGGGGCAAGCTCAGGAAACTGATATTTTACACTGTCACTACATCCCAGGTCGGTTTGTGGTGAGAAACAATCCTTTTTATCTCTTTCAATGTTGTTCAAATACTGACAATACATAAAGCTGACAACATTGTTGTAAGTTGTGAGGGAATACGGCCTCAATAAACTGTCAATATTTTGAATAAAATTTGGAATATGATGAATTAGAAAAGATCACCTCCACTTTACTCAAAAATGGGATTAATTTAAATATAAAACCTGACGTCCCCTCCATCTCTCATCCTTTTTGAGACACAACTGAAATCTTCACACTTTGACAGTTACGTATTCAGTGCCGTCTGCGCACTCTGCTTAGTCAGAAGGGGTCGCGCTAACAAGGGTATAAAAGGATGAAACATGGGGTCAGTAGCCTTGACACATTCCTCCTCAGTGGAAAATAACCCCTGAGACAAACATACACGCAAAGAGAGCCTGACCTTTGTCCTTTGCCCTGCAGGACGTGTTTCATATAGGAGACACCTCAGGAACAGCTGGTCAGGCTCTCGCTCATGGGAAACAAAAAAATGGTGGACATATACTTAGGCTAGCTAAGACTTTGCGCACCTCTTATGTACGAAAAAAAAAATTAAATCCACTTTATGATGTTTCATTTCTCAGCCAAGACGCCTCTTCAGCTGTTAGGTGGATTATTCAGTTTGTCTTGTTTACAGTTGTAGAATTTTTGTACAATATTTCACAAGAAACATTTTCATTTCTGGGCTCAAAACAAAGGAAGCAAACTGCAAATAACATCTGGTCCCATCGCTCCCATCTGGTGCGCTTGTCATTACAAAGACAGCAGTCCCACATGTAAAAACAATAAATACATTTGGGGAATATATTTGTGTGGTAGTCTGACATCACCAACAAGAAAAGGCTGTAATTTGCCTTAATCAGCAAACAGGGGCCTCTGTCTATGGAGCAAGTTTGAATTAAATTCACTTCTTGGTTGTGTTGTGTTGAACTCCTAGATCCGCCTACTGACATGGACCAAAATTCTAGCACCCCTGACCCATATCACATCCTTCCACTAAGTGTTGTAGAAATCTGTTCAGCAGTTTTCGTGTAATCTTGCTTACAAATAAACCAACAAACAAACAGACAGGGGTGAAAACAACTGTCTAGATTGATTTTTAACATGCAACCAGTCTAATAGGACCCATATTTTAACTTCTAATGATACCATCCTCAGTTTAAACCCAGCAGATGCTCCCTACTGCATCTTCAGACCTTTACCAATTTATCATTCACTCTAGTGCAAAGAACATGCCAGATTTACAACTGTGTGTGGCTGCCTGTGTCTCAGAATAGGAGGGAGGGGAGGGGCGATCCCAAAAGACGGCGCAGCTCCGCGGGAGCATGCCTGGGATTCCAGAGGTGTGACCGGGGGAGCATCCTTTTCGTGTGGTCTTATCTTCCCTGGGAGAAGTGATACAAACACGCAGAAGCACACAAACATCATGTTGGTGTGGACGGAGACGTGCTTTCGGGGGCTGAGGTGAAGGGAAAGGCAAAGCCCTGGGGGGTTGGCTGGTTAATCTGTTAAACAATAGAGAGCACTGGAAAATTCTTGCCACCAGCAGCCATAGTTAGGGAGGGCGTGGAGATGGGATGGGAGATGCAGAATGTAGAGACCACCCTCTACACAATCTATCTCATATTCTGCTGTTTTTAAAGCTTTATTACACAATACAAGGCAAGCAAACATTAAAAAAGAAACAGGACAACATTTAAGAAGCTCCATTTTTTCTGTCCTACTCCATATGACCTCTTTATTTCCTTTTCTACAACACAATGACACCATCTGCCCCTCAGTGCAGCCGGTGTACAGATAAAAGAAGTAATCTTGTCAATGTGATTTGAGTAGGTTTAATATTTCATCACTTAACCGTGCATTCACCAAATTACTTTCACTGAAATAATGCTGCAACATAATCCACATTTGATTAGTGAATAAGCTCCGTATTAAATCGCAGCTGAAAATATCTGCTGTGGAATCTACAGCAATCAAGGACAAGCTGTCAAAAACGAAATATTTTCTGCACAATAACTGCCGTCATTGTCACACTTGAAACTACTCTACTAACTTTTTCGAACTCTTCAACTCATACCATCATTACATCATTACAATTTAACTTAGGCTTTAACAACATAGCTTATCTAAATCTTGAATATCAAGATGAATAAACATGTTGAACACATCTCTTATGTCAACTTCCAACTTTTCAGTCTTTTCCATTATATAGTTGAAAAAGTACAAGAAGACAGGTTATATTCTCTATATCAAACCTTTGTACAGATTAAAAAGACAATCTTTTCATCAGGAAAAACCTACCCTGTCATAGAAATATTGTCTCTTTAAATAAGCAGAGGAAAATTGCGCTATGATACTCATGTGTTACTCATGATCGAGGCACCTACCCAGATCCAGAAGCCAGAATTTGCAGTTGTCAGAGTGTCCTCCCTTTGCAGAGTCCATGGAGCAAAAAGGATTCAGAGACACTAAGGACTCAATTCCTCGAGCCATGCTGCGTCAAATATCGAGCCTCTGCAATTCAGGCTCCAAATATTCCCTCACAGCATCTCCACAGGTACAACAGCTGACCTCAAACACTTCAACTGTTTTTTTTTAATTAGCAAAAGAATAATTCTGCAGTAACTAAAATTCCAGGGAGAGAATGTGTGAAGTTCCATGTGGAGGAAAAAGTCAAATGCAGCATTAGAGAGCAGGATGTTTTCTCTCTCTCTCTCTCTCTCTCTCTCTCTCTTTGTATCTCTCTCCCTCCCTCTCTCATGAGTGGGCTGCTGTGAGGATATTGGGCAAGCCTCCACTGTGCCTCTCCCGTTCCACAGGGACGTCTGGAATCAGGCAGCACATATACCGTATTACCCTTTGTAGAGGCACCCACTCAGTTGGCGTGGGCGGGTGCAAATTTTGAAGGCAATGGGATGCACACAATTTGTGCCGTATATGCTTGGAACAAATATAGACCGTGGTTATAAAATCAAGCAAGCAGCAAAACACTTGGTGGTGAAAAATAAAATAAATCTGCGACATATTCAGGGCTTGGTTACAAATTCTGCAGAATTCAGGAACTCCACTGGGAGGTTTCTTTAAGAGATGGAGTTCAGTAGCTGCTACCAAGTAAATATTCAACACTTTAGTTCATTTTCTAACATATTCACTTCCTCTGATAACATCCCTGTGCATACTAGGCAGTTTAGAGCAGCTGTGCAGGGTAGATGCACAAAGATCCCCCTGTTTAAACTGTGAGTGTGTGTGTGTGTGTGTGTGTGTGTGTGTGTGTCTCCCTGGGATCTAAACAAACTCTTTCCTGTAACAACACACACACACACACAGGCACATACACTGGCCTGCTACCATACAGATTCCTTTTTAAAATAAATAACCTTGTGCACTTTGTATTTATTTCATTCTGAGAGGCTCTTGGAGTAAACCTGCATGTTACTGATTTGGTTAAACAGGGTGAATTCCAGTATTTAAACTGAAGACATGAAGAGCAAGTCAATGAAAGTGATCTGATTTCACAGTAATGTGTAGGTTTGCTTAACATTCAGGGGCAGGGTGAACTAAACAGGACACACACTACACACATGAACTACTGTTGTTTTCTGGTAAAAAACATCCCATAATCAGGGCAGACCAGCAGCTGCCAGCAACAAACTTTGGCATTCATTGCAGTCATTCTTAGCCCCACAGACAAGGCGACAGTTCATTATTCCAAGAAACACAGCATGAAAAAAAAAAAGAATATTTCCAGGACAACGCTCTAATTCCCTAAATCGTCACCCTTCCACAACTATGGACAAAGTGGTCTACATGGTTGGTCAGTAAACACAAAAGACATTTTTTGTTATCCTGGTCTTCCTCCTCCTCAGCAACAGATTTCTTTCTCCTTTTTTTTTTTAACCACAGCCTCCCCTGCAGAGTGAAGCTCCTTTTCATCACTGTCACTCTTTGACCACACACATACAAACTGTGAGGGCTGGTTATGCACGACCAAGAAACAAGGAAAGTCAGACAGAAACAAGCACCTCTGTGAGACAACAGTGATGAGAAGCTGTGAAGCTGGACTGCATGAGAAAAAAACTTAAAACGAAAAGGTAGCGAGGAAATTCTACCCTTCCTGCATTTCTATACCGCTCTAGATCATTCAGCTAATTCCAAAGTTGAGAGTTCCTGTGTGTGCATCCCGAGCCATCCTTTAATTTTAAATTCGAATGCAGACTTTCTCATGACTGATCACAAAGAGGCAGCCAGCAAAAATATTTATACTCAATATTACCATAGAAACAAGCAGATTTCACCCACTCCTCCAGGTTAAAGAAGCAAAAGCACATGCAGTACCTTCTGTCAAGACAAGATGACAGCGGCTCATCGCTCCAACCAAACAGTGAGGGTCAGGTCTGATCAATAGTTATTCTTTGTTCAGTACTTTAGCACTCGACAGAACAGTTTCAATGTTCCTGTCACGAGATTATTATAAAAGTAGTATAAATAATGTACACAAAGTGTGGTTGTATAGTATACCTATAGTATAGCATAGTACAGAATAGTGTAGTATAGTATATTAAAGTATGATATTTTATAGTATTGTTTGTTAAGTATGGTAGAGTTGAGTTTTGAAAAGTATAGTGTAATAGTACAGTATTGTATAGTATATAATATTATATATACACTTTATATCTGTATTGACACATGTTTTACGAAATGAAAACTTTTATTCTACAGAATGAACAATGCAGAAAAGATGTGCATTTGTGCTAAAATATATTTTTCTTAATTCAGTGTTCAACTGTAAAATATCAAGCCTCAATTACATTTCTTTATCATAACGGTTTGATGATAACATTTTAGGAATCATTGCCAAAATATCGTAAAAGAAAATCTTTCCAGTATTGGCATTGGTACCCAAAATCAAAGTAGACAGGCTCTAGTATACTAGTGAATATACAAACCGTGTCTATATATTGTATGCAAAAAACCATTTCACATATCTAACAATAATCTGTTCATAATCAAGACACAGTTCATTTCCTGGTTGGATGATTTGACAATATTTCAGTTCTGATGTGATGTACACTTCTTAGTGAGTGTGGAAAATACCTGGAGAAACACATTATTCATTCCTCTTAATAAGAACCACTGAGTTTGAAACAGATGCATGAGTTAGATGTCCTGTCCTCCAGGGCTCCTCCTGTCCAGGCACTTTAATGTTTCATGTTTGCTACAGTGGAGGGACACGCTGCTGCATGTATAAGACGAAGTGAGGGTCTCTGACAATAATGAGATCTGCGCATGTTCACGTGAAGTCATTTTAAGATAATTAAAAGAGAGCTGTGCTTTCAAGTGGGCTTTCCACTGTTGCATAGCAACGCCTTTAAGTACATGTGCTTGCTTCCCCAAGCAGCTGTCTAATGAGAAGGGAGGGATCCACCGGTTGCCAATGCTATGTTCGCAAACAAGAAACACATCTTACTTACTTTCTTTAAGTGTGTGTCTGTGCATGGATGTGACAAGCAGCAGTCTGGTGAGATCAGAAGATTCAGCAACCTTCCTCTGCTGTTTAGGGACATGAATTACATCCATTTTGCTTTTCCTGTCCTGAAGTGTTTGCATGCACCTGAACATGATAAAACAACTCCACCTGCCAGTGTGTGTAGAAAAATGAAGGTAACTCAAACATCCTTCTCCTACCTTTGTGGTTGAAGAGCCCCTCCATCTCCATGGAGGACCTCGAGTGAGCGATGCAGAGCATGGCGCAGGGTACGATCCCCTCCTGGGCCGGAGAGCGGTCTGTGGTCCTCACCAGGCACCAGTCTGGCTTATCGTGGAGTCGCTCCAGGACCTCCACGGTCTGGCCCCTGCGCACCGTCAGCTCCCCGCTGCTGCCACCGTTACCCGCCACAAAGTCATGGATCACCACGGTCAACTCACAGCCACCGGACAGCTGAGGAGAGAGGACAGAGCAGAGATCTGTAAAACTCGCTGATTTTTTTCTAAATCTACTGAACAGATTTCTGTGAACTTTTGTGGAGAGGCGAGGCATGAGTGGATCTGGACATTTTTTTCGTCTTGTCGAAATAGCGGTTAGCTTTGCAGGAGTTATATGCTCTGTGCATCCTTCTTGTTGTGTTTATACTGTTTGCATAAAGCATGAATGGATAAATTAAATGCAATGAGTCAAACTAATGTGAAACTGTGCGGCCTGTAGATTTGAATGTGAGAGTGAATGGCTGTTTGTCTCTGTATCTTGGCTCTGCGTTGGGCTGGCCACCTGTTCGGGGTGCACCTCTATTCTCGCCCAATGTCAGCTGGGATTGGCTCCAGCTCCCCCTGTGACCCTCAAAGGAGAGGCGGTATAAACAATGGATGTGTCTGTGTGATAAACTGTGATTAGTGTGCTGATGAAGTAACTGAGAGGCTCAACTATCCATGAGAGTAGCCTCCAGTCGTTAAAGTCGTCCAGTGTGCAGCCTCATTTAGAACTGAAGCACTAAATAAAAATAAAGAAATAAGATGCTACATATTTATCTCATCCAGTCAGACCTGATTACCAGCTCACAGGTCCACACAGTGCGGCTCAGGCCACAAACCATTCCGAACCTTAGAGATAACTAACCAAGCCCAACCTGAACACCAACATCATTTTAAATCTTTTAACTGAACGCCCCTCGACCTGTCAGGATGCGTCAGGTCGGGCATCCACACTCTCCAGGTTAAGCTGCTGTTGTATCTCTCTGACCTCCACTATGGAAAAATGCAAATGTAAATGTGAAAACCAGTCATACCTTAAATTTCTCCTGCATTTGCCAGAAACTCAACAAAGTCAAGTTATGACACTATTAGTGTATGTTACTATAAACTAACAAAAATGATGACTCAGTAAAAAGAATTCTGACATTGAAAAATGAATTCTCTCTGAACAAAAAGCAAGTATTTCCACACAACATCCTTGGCTAACTCAAGCAATGCTGTAAAGTCAAAGTGTAAATGCGCTGATTACCGGGTGACTCATTCTAGCGCAACAGAAGAAAAACGTCACCGTGACGATCCGACTCTTCAGAAGTGCAATTAGTCACTTTGCTATGAGACATTTCTGTTCAATGCAGGTGGAGGATACAGTCGCTTGTTGCTATTGATGCTTCGATCTAAAGAAGCACTTACAGGATAAAACACACAGTTAGAGGACACCAGAGGGAATGCAAATTATCTTATTGTACAAATAGAAAATAAAAAAATAAAAAAATGTCTGACACGCTGTGACACTGTTACAATAATAATGGATTTATTTTAATTAATAATTGAAAATTTAATAGCATAGATCCTCCTCTGGTTTTCATCTGACCAATCGTTCAAAGCAATAGATCTACAGATATATTGTTATTATGGAAATGCAAACTAAATAATTCTGTGTTAGAAAATCTTAATAACTGTAATTATGATGTGATTAATTACTGTGATTTAACAACTGATAATCAAATATTTATACTTGCCATAAAGTTACGCCCTTTTATGCCTCCACAGATTGTTCCTTAATTATACTGTGTACAATTCTACAGTTTTACATTTTCCTTTTCTTTGTATTATTTAAATAGATTGGATCAATCTTTTTTTTCCTTTTACTTAAAATAATGTAAATTATGACATTTATAATGTAGCACATATTAGCAACCTACCCTTTGGTAGTGTGGTAAAGCCAGAGAGCTGAGGAGCTGAGAGATGGGGTTTGAGCTCCTGTCCTCCAGCCTCTCCATCGTTCTCCACTCCCTCATTGCAAGAAAAGTCCCAAAGAGCGAGAAAACCCTACAGAGCAGTTCCACTAATGTTGTCCTAAATCACTACGAGAAGATGCTCACTAGTTAAACGGAAAGTAAAGTTAAATTTGTAGATTTTTTAAATGCAGTATCCAAGTAATTAAAATCCTAATTCATTAGAACAACCTAAGGTTTGTAGAAGAATCACTGCAATCCACTGAACCAGTCAACAGCACTCCTCTGTGGGTGCTAACAATCAGGCTATTGAAGCTCAAACGCTCCCCTGTTGGTTGGCTCTTCTCTGCAGCGGTGCAGTTAATCCATCCTCATCTTTAAACAACTGCTTCCACAATTTAGCTCACTATTATCCATTTACCAACAACAACAAAAAAATACACCGGAAAATTTCGAGGAAAAAAAAAAAGCTGTGGTCGCCCGACGCTTCCAATCGCTCAAAGAGTGCGATCGATGTGAGGACATAAAACTGTGCTCTCCTGTCTGGCATACAGACGAGAGTCCTCTGTGAACAGAGCGTGGGAGGCTGAAGCTGCTGACACACAAGTTAAGGCATTGGCACACACGCACACACACACAAACACACACATGCACACACGGACATCAACACAAACACACCACTGTCACTGCCTCCTGAATGAGAGGGCTCACAGAGAGGGAGATACAGAGAGGCATTCAAAAAGTGAGGATGAAAAGCAAAGTTTATATTTGCATGTTATTATTGAGCGTTCTGATGGTTTATGCATGCGAGCATGTCCTAAATGGAGGGAACAATTAATAATGAATTAGTGTCTGTGATAGACACACAGATTCATGTCACATGAAACCACCACAGAGTAGAGCTTATTGTGCCAACAGTTAAATAACAAACAGCAGCAATTAGTAGGCTCAGCTAATTTTCTTATTTCCCTGATTACAGTAGTGAATGAGGCTGAGGCTGACAGGGGGAAAGTCCAATTCAAGTGTGAAAACAATGACATCATTTAAGAACTCACCACTGTCGTTTATTTTTATTAATTTATAATTAGTATGACTTAAAAGTATAAAGAGGCTTTTTAATGTGTGTTTGTGTGTGTGTGTGTGTTTGTGCTTTACAGTTGCTCATACTGAGCGTAGGAGGACAGGCCTTCTGTGGTGCTATTACCAGATAT